CACCCAAACTCTTAATCTTATGAACTAAGTTATATTCTGGTGATCCATTTTCAATAACACTTAATCCTTCTTCTGTCAAATACAACAAATTACTTGTAATCATATCATACCTAATTTTTCCTTTATCAGTCAATGATAATACAATACCATGTAATTCTGTAACTGCTTTATTTGAAGCAAACCTCTTATAAATATCATCACTGGTTATACATTCATTATTTTCTAATAAATTTAAAATATAATTTGCTATTTCTTTGTTGATATTTTCTCAATAAAAATTTTAGAAAATTAAAGAAAAAGAAATTTTAGCCCTTAAAACGATGGAAAATTTGTTTAACCCGTCTGGTAAGTGTGTGATTGTATTTGATTTAAATAACACTTTAATTGAGAAGATACATGAAAAGAATTATAAATCGGAAATGGATTATCCCGACAAAGTACTTTATTTTCATGTTAAGCCAAAACCATACTTAAATCTAATAAAGACTTTTTTAGATAAGAAAAGGGTTATACCAGTACTATGGAGTACTGTTATGCCTCGAAATATTGGTGCGTATGTTAAATATTTAAAAACTACTCATGGAATAGAATTTGATCTTGTAATGGATAGTGACTACTGCTCAGAGGGTGAATTAGTTGAAACTTTAAAGGTGACTAAATATAAAAAAGATCTTAATTTAGTAGCTCAACAACTTGGAGTTGATGTTAATGATATTTTATTAGTTGACGATAACAAAGAAAAAAGAGTAGGAAATCAAAACTTTTATCATGTTACTGAAGATAAAGGTTTGTTAGGCGTATTAACTGAGATAGAAAATTTTATTGCAAAGAGACGTTAAAATAAATAAACTTAAATTGATATTTTTATAAAAATTTTTAACCCATAATTTTATAAATGGCACAGAAAGACGAGAAGAAAGAAGTCACTTTTGTAGATGATGAAACACTTAATCCTGCTATTGAAAAAATGTTAGAGGGTAAAACTGAGGAAGGAGAAACTGTTGAGGTTATCATTACCACTAAGGGATATGAAAATAGAAAAGATCCTAAAATGACAGTTGAAGTTGCTTTTCCAAACAGAATTAGAATGAATCATAAGATGTGTGTAATTGGTGATGAGAATGCTAAAGTTAAAGCTGAAGAGGCTGGATTGCCATTTGCTTTAATGAGTGAGTATGAGGGAAAGACACCAGAGATGGTTAAGAAGAGAGAAAAGTTTATTAGACAACATGGAACCTTTATTTGCTGTCCTGGATCAGTTAAAGTGTTTCCCTTAAAGGAAATATTGATGAAAAAGAAAACTACCTTCACTTGTCAAAATGTAGATCAATTCTCAACACTTTATGAAAGGTTATTGAAAACATACAAGTTGAGAGTTAAAGACTGGTATTCAGTAGCATTTCCAGCTGGTCACACAGGATTAACTAATGATCAAATTAAAGATAATTTGAAAGAAAGCATTCAATTTATTTCAGGTAAATTTAAGAAAGGTGCTGCTAATATTAAACATTGTTTTATTAAAAGAGCACATGGTGAAACTGTAAAACTTTATTAATTAAAATTTAAAATTGAATTAAAATATTTTTAATCAAAAAGATTGTTTAAATTTTTTTAATCAAATGAGAGAAACAAAAAAACATGTTTTTATTAAAGAAATAAAATTAATGTTATATGCATTTGGTGATGTACAATCGCCCAGATTAGACACTCTCATAACTGTTCATAATTATCTATGTTCGTATTTGAATACATTGTTAATTAAAACACATAACATGGCTAAAGTTAAAGGAAAAACTAAAACAGAAGATCTTCTATTCTTTTTAAAGAGAGACAGAAAGAAATATTCAAGAGTGAAGAATTTATTAAAAACAAATGAAGAGCTTATAAGAACTAGAAAGATAATTGATCAACCTGAAAATGAAAGTGAAGTTGAATAAATTTTTTAAAATATTTTCTCCCATAAAATGAACAACATCATAAATAAAATGAATATGCGTAAAACTAAAACTATGGCAGTGTTAAATAAATTAAGTGCTTTACTAGAGATTAAGGGTGATTATAAACTTATTGTTAGCAATGACTTAATGATTACTAGAGACAATACACTTATTTATGAAAATGTTAAGTTTAATCATCCAATCCTACTTATATTTAGAGAATACCTTAATAAAGTAAAGATGTGTGGAAGTGGAAGTGATTATTTTATTGAATTGTTAAAGAAATTGATAGGTGAATTTGTTTATTTAATTGAGAATGGAATGAGTGGAAAAAAGTTAAGTGAAGAATTATCAAAAATTAAAGTTAAGTCTATTGGTGATGGAATAAGCTTATTTAATGATAATAAAAAAATGTTTTCATTTATTAATTCAATAGTAAATAATGACAGATTATCAAAGTTAGTAACAAATGTTATTTTATCTGTTGATAAGGATAATTTAGATAAGATTAGAGTTATTAAGATACCAATTGGGCCTTTTGATGATTCATATATTGTTAATGGATTAGTTATACCTAACAACGTATCAGGCACAACTAACAGAATATTTAATACAACGGTATCACTATTTAATTGTCAAATAGATTTACCTAAACCTGAAGCATCAGGCAAGGCTGTATTTAGAAATGCAGATGATTTATTAGCTTATAATAAAGATGAATATGCAATTATAAAAGATTTTGTAGATAGATTAACCATAAACGCTTTAATAGTATCAGGTAAAGTAAATGATGTATTTTTAGATCTATTAGATAATAGACATATACTTGTATTGAGAGTATTTAATAAGTATGATTTGAAGATAATTAATGATATTGTAGGAGGTAAAATATTAAATAATTTTTATAATAATTTAGATATAACTAAGAAATATAGTGAGATAGAAGATAAGA